AGGAACAACCGAAAAAATCCCCTCCGCAAGACAGCGGCGCTATGCAAGGCCTCCCCGCCCCCGTCGGCCGCCGGAGCCTGGATTCAAGGGGAGGGGAGGGAAAGACGGACTGCCGTCCAGCGCCCGTCCGCAAACAAAAAGCGAAGCGGGGCGGGGGAGCGGGGCAACAAAAAATGGCTCGCAGGAAGGAACGCGCTGCAAGAAGTGGCTCGGGGAAGTGACAGAGAGGGAAGGAACGCGCTGCAACGCACCACCGCGCAGCTGCAGCGCATCGCGAGGTGGAGGGCGCCGGATGCACCTGCGACGCAGCACGGACCAACCCGCCGCAGGCGAGGCCTGGCGGACGAAACGTGGCTAACTGCAGCGCGCCCCGAGTACTGCAAACGACCACTCAAATCCGCGCAGCAACGAACAGGCGGAGGAACAACAGAGGACGCATGGGGAACAAGAGGACCCGAGCAGCACACTGGAGAACGCCAACAGGAGGAGGAAGAGAGCCGCAAAGGGGACGGACGGCACAAGTCAGATCCTGGCCCGCGTGCCAGCGACGCCCTCGTCGCACCAGCGCGGAAAATGGTGACCGGGGCGACGCCTGCGCGTGGACCGCGGGAGCTGCATGCGCCACGTGGACCGCGGGAGCTGCGCGAAACGCACGGGCCGCACATCGTGCGAGCCGCACGAGCTGCGGGGTCGGGGGGCCGCATCGGACCAGCGAGGCCGCACGGGCCGCGCGCGGCGCACGGGCGGCCCCTGCAGAGGCCTTGACGAAGCGCACGGGCAGCGCGAAGGGCACGGGCCGCGGCGGATATGTGGACCGCATGGCCGTTGGTGCTGCCCTGGCCGCAGGGAGTGCGCGGTAATTACGCGTGGCAGTCGATCCTGCGCGCCGCCAGGCAGGCCCTGCACGAAGAGGGCAGGACTGGCGAGCACCGTTGAGCCCAGTGAACACCACGTCGTGCGCCCTCTCGGGGAACCGGACCCCGTTGCCAAGCATTCGAGCGAGAGTCGCGCCGACCAAATCACCCAACCATCAAACACAACAACATCACTTGAGACGTCGGGCGCGAGGTTTGAAGGAGAGGGCAGGCTCCTTACAATGGTATTTACCCCATCAGTGCTTGCATTGAAGGGGTCCTTGCGGAGATTGAAAGATTTTGGAGAAAGTGCCGCGCTGATTTCGGTGGGCGGCCGGGCTCCCGGGATCCCAAGTTCCCAGTTCCTGCTTCCCGGATGCCCGTTTGCCGCTTCCGGGCCGATTTCGGTAGGCGGCGGGGTTCCAGGGTTTCGGGGCTCCTGGTTTCCTCGTCGATGTCCTTCTCGACCGGTCTCACCATCGATCTCCTCACCCACCTGTCGATCTCACAACCAGTCTCACAATCGATTCAATATTGCTGCCACTATCGGATCGCACGGCCGCTCTAACGATCGATCTCAGAATCGATCTCACTGAATCGACATCACGATCGGCCGCACGATCGACGTTCCTGTCGTCCTCACACTTTTGATCCCACGATTGATCTCACGATTTTACGATGCATATCACTGTCGGACTTGTGGCTCCGGGTTCTGGGTTGGCCCGTGTGCTCGTTCTGGGGCGAGTTCGGTCGGCGGCGGGGTCCTCAGGTTTCCGGGGGTCCCGGTTTTCTCGTCGATCTCCTTATCGATCGGACTCACCATCGTTCTCCTTATCCACATCCCTACCGAGCGCACTACCGATCTCACTATCGCTCTCACAATCGATTCACGATCGATCTCATTAGATCGGACGGGCGATGTCGCGATCGATCCCACGATCGATTCCACTGAATCGACTTCATTATCGCTCTCACGATCGAGTTTCCGATCGTCCTCACACTGTCGATCCCACGATCGATTTCACGATCGCATTATCCATATCACTATCGAACTCCAGGTTAGGCTCCTAGGTGCCCTTTCGCTGGTGTGGAGCCGATTTCGGTCGATCTACTTACCGATGTCCTCACACTGCGGGCGCGAGGTTTGCTGGCTTGCGGGTTCCCAATTTCCTGGTCGATCTCCTTCTCGATTGGTGCCATCGGTCTCCTCACCCGTCTTCCTATCGATCTCACAACCGATCTCACAATCGATCCTTTATCGATATCACTATATATCGCACGGCCGATTTCACTGATCGAATTCGCTGATTGTCTCAAGATCGACTTTCCTATCGTCCTCATTATCGATCCTGCTACCGACGGCGCTATCGATATCACTCTCTGTTCCATTCCCCAATCAGCATTTACACTGGCCCCTAGCGGAAATTAGAAGATTTGGCGACAACACCAGGCTGATTTCGGTGGGCGGACGGGTTCCTGGGTTTCCGGGTTCCTTGTTCCTGGGTTCCCGGCTCGGGGTTAAAACGATTTCGGTGGGCGGCGGGCACCCTGGTTTCCCAGGTTCCTGGTCGATCTGTTATAGTTCGGCCTCACCATCGATCTCATTACTCACATATCCATCGATCTCACCATCGATTTCACATCCGATCTCACAGTCGATATCATTATAGATCGCGCGAACGATTTCACGATCGATCTCACAATCGATTTCGCTGAATCGACTTCACCACCGGTCTCGCGATTGGCCTTACAACCGTCCTCACTACCGATTCCACGATCGATCTCACTATCGATATCACATTGGATCTCCATATCCATACCACTAGTTTCTTAACCATCCACTGGGGGAGGCTGAGGGGAGGGAAAGAGGGGGGCGCCATCCCACGCCCATCCGCCGACAAAAAGCCGGGGAAGGGACGGGGCAAAAGGAAGGGCGTGAGAAGGACGACGCAAGGAACGCGCTGCAACGCGCCACCGCGCGCGTGCAGCACATATCGAACTGGAGCAGCGGCAGATGCGCCAGGAACGCAGCACAAACCAACCCGCCGCAAACGAAGCCTGGCGGACGAAACGTTGCTAACTGCAGCGCGCCCCGAAGCCCAAGTTACCAGCCAAATCCGTGCGGCATCAGAGAGGCGGAGTGACCAAAGAGAACCAAGAGGGAGCAGGCGGGCCCAAGCACCGAGCGGGAGAGCGCCAGGGAGAGGGTGGACGAAGAAACTCAAACGGGCATGGACTGCACAGGCCACATGTCCGCGGAGGTAGAGCCTCTCAAGAGCGAAATGCTGCACAAACGACGGCAAGAAAAACACTTCGACACGGGAAATCCGCATGCACGCATCGGTGAACGTCTCCTCCTCCTCCTCCTCCTCTTCCTCCTCCCTTTCCTCTTGATCCTCCCTGTCCACGCTGCTTTTCATTGATCAGGTCGCGCGTAGGTTCCCTTGCGAGTTATTTCTACGAGCATCGGACGGTGTTCGGGTATGTAAGAAACTGGATGGGCAGATACATCCTTGCAATATGAACGCGACAGCGCCCGTGATGTACCCCCTTGCGGCCTCCGCTTGAGGTCCCCATCTGCCACGCCTGCTACATCACGACGGCCACGCAGCCATGAACAATAGTAGGCGCAATCGAATCACAAAAGCGCACTTCCGCTTGAGACGTGCATCCCCACATGCTGGGCGCCAGTGGTAAGCATCCTGCCCGCCATTACATCGCAATGACCACGCGGCCCTGAAAAGAGACACGTCTACCTGTCAACAACTAGCGTTTCGCGTGAGATATCCCCGCTAGCGCCAACGGGCAATTGTCCGACCCTCTGGCGCCCCTCCTCTCTCTCTCTGGGGTGCCCAAGAATTGGCTTTCTTCGTAGCGGCCCTGAAAAAAAACACGCCGACCTGAAAAAAAACAGCGTTTCGCGTGAGCTATCCCCGGATGCTGGGCGCCAGCGGGCAAGTGTCCTACACGGTGGTTGCTCCCCCTTGTGGTGCCAAAGAACTATGGTTGCGACATCGCGAACACCACGCGGCCCCGTAAAAGACGCGTCGGCATCTGTGAAACGCGAGGACCGATGGAGACGTCCCCACAATCTGGGCATGAACCAATAAGTGAGCTATCCCCTGGCGGTATCCCCTTGTGTTGCCCAAGCGCAGTGCCCGTCACATCGCGATATGTATGATCGTGGGATGGAGAAGGAGGGAGGAGGGAGTGAGTAGACAGAGGCGCGACACGGATAACAAGAATCCACGACGTAGAGGATGGGAATAAGCTTCGCAACATCCTCCACGAGACGCGCAACTGCCTGCAAAAGGACCCAGTGTGACCGTCGGAGCCTTGCTCCGCACACGTTCGACGGACACTGACGGCAATCTAACTGGCTCAATATGCTGGGACATCGCTACGATTTTGACTTTCGCCAAACGTGCGTTTGATTTGCCCATGTCGTCAAGCCCCCCTATCTGAACGAAGACAAGCGGTTTCTGCCGAGACATCCTCACGATTCGCTCTCAAATTGGACACGGCGTGCAGGTGACGCTGGCGGTGTGCTGCCCGCGCCGAAGTGAGAGCGCCGTTTGGACGGACTTGCGGCCAATAGCAAGGCCGGGGGGGGGGCCGGGGGGGGAATCCGGCTCTCTGTCGCCGGAGCGTTGTTGATGCAAGGCTTTTTCCTCTTCCTTTTCCTCATCTTTCTTCTATTCCTCTTCCTCCTATTCCTCTTCCTTCAATTCCTCTTCCTTCTATTCCTCTTCCTAGTAAGAGGTTTTCCAATCGCTCCGACTTTTGGCCCGCATAGTAAGGAGCATTCCAACCTCCCCCTGCCGCCCTCTGGGCGTGGCCGACGCTTACAGTGGAGGCCAGTCCACAAGAAACCTTCAACAAGAAACCCAACCCTGAGACCCCAGGACGTCCATTGGTTTTTGGTATGGGAGCGTCGCGCCTTCCACGGTAAAACCTTCGAAACCCAAGAAACCCAGGGTACCCTGGAGGCAAGCAGGGTGTTTCTTGGCATGGGCCTCCAGTGTAATAACAAAGCATTCCGCACCTTCCCTGCCCCCCTCTGTGCGTGGCCAATGCTTACCCTTCAACGGGGCAGCGGGCCGTTGCCACCCGCAGTCGGGGCCCCGCCCCGCGAGACGCGCCCGCCTTCGAAACGGCGCCCGGCCCGCGGCGGCGCGGGCCCGCGGCCGCGCGCGCCCCGCGGCCGCGGTCAGCTAGCGCT